ACTGTCCATGAATAGATTTCTGAAGACGACAAACACACTGGACTCAAACTCAAGTGGTTACACGTGGAAATTCAAGGGTATCACAGTTGGTATCAGAGTCTGACCAAGCCGGAAGTGTGCCGATGGGAGCGTCGGGCCTCCTAAGGGGTTGGATTGTGACGACCTTGTAAACGGGTGTACCGTGGGCAGGTGCATGAGGCATTGGCAGCCAACCACACTGGACGAGCTACAAGTGCACAATCCTACATCGCCTAGGTAAAGGAAAGGAAAAGTGTTTATATGTAGGTGTATCACTCCAATTGGTATGAGTCCTTTTGGGGTAAAGCCCAAGAGCAAAACCGTGCGGGCTCAGACCCAAAGCGAACAATATCATACCATATGGTGGAGTAGATCATTACAAATGGTATCATAGCCATGTACACTATCTCACTCAGACCTCCATGCAAGAAGGCATTCTTAACATCAAGTTAATGAAGGGGCCAATCAAGATTTGCAGCAAGAGAGATGATAATACGTACTAAGTTTAGCTTGGCACAAGAGAAAAAGTTTCAATGTAATCAAGACCATAGGTTTGTCAAGCCCTTAGCAACAAGACTAGCCTTTAACCTGTCAACACCATCTGGATTTTGCTTCAATGTGAATATCCATCAGCAACCAACAACGGATGCACCTGCAGGCTTAGGAACAAGCGTCCAAGAATTATTCAAGTGCAAAGCATGCATTTCATCCTCCATTACTTTTTGCCAAACCAAGATGAGAAAAGGCCTCCTTATATGACTTAGCAACAGTGACAAAAGATAAGGATATTGTGAAAGCTTTAAATAAAGGAGACAAAATAATCATAAGATATAAAATTAGAGATAGGGTGCTTAGTACAAAATTGTTTACCTTTAAGAATGGCAATGGGAATGTCGAGACTAGATGGAGGAGCGGGATCCGCAGGCGCCGAGGAGAGCGATGGAGGATTTGAGGATGATGCTAACGATGTTGTAATCGGTTTAGATGGGTTATGAGAAGACCACAAACGTTTACGAGCATAGACCTTAGGATATGAAGGGATGAGCCTATTAGGATATGAAGGGTTGGAAAGAACAGGCAGGGGACAAACGGACTCTTGGAGTAAAGGCTCTAGCAGTTGACGACCTCCGTAGAGTGATAGGGAACATTTTCAAAGGAGGTCACATCAGCACATACAAAATGTTTTTTTTAATGTAGAACTATAGCATCGATATATCCTTTTTGTGTACGAGAATAATCAAGGAATATACATTTGTGTGCACGAGAGTCAAGTTTATCACGTGTTTGATTTAAATTATCGACAAAGCATATACACCCAAATACCTTTGGAGGAAGAGGGAAAGGATCATTATTAGGGAAAAACATTTGAAAATGTGATTTCCCTTCTAGAACCCGAGATGGCATTCTATTTAAAAGGTATACTGCTGTGAGAACAGCATCCCCCAAAAGTGTTTAGGCGCATTCATTTGAAGCATGAGTGCACGGGCAACAACAAGGATTGGACCATTCTTTCGTTCAGCAACTCCATTTTGTTGAGGTGTATCAACACATGAGGTTTGATGAGTAATACCCATTGACTCAAGGAAGTGCTGAAAGTTATGAACTTTATACTCAAGAGCATTATCAGCACGAAGAATGTGCAGCTTGGCATTAAATTGATTAGTAACTTCAGCATAAAATGATTTAAATGCATCAAACACTTGAGAGCGATCTTTAAGAACGTATAACCAAGTCAAACGGGAATAATCATCAATAAAAGAAACGAAATAAGGTGCATCAGACAAACTAGTAGTTCTAACTGGACCACAAACATCGCAGTGAACCAACTCAAAAGGATGTAAACAAGGAGCATCAGGTTGAAGTTTAAAAGTGTCTCGATGATGTTTACTGAGCTCACAAGTTTCGCAATCAAAAGTAGCAAACGAAGGTAAAGAAGGGACTAAAAGATGAAGATTGGCAGTTGATGGATGTCCAAGTCGACAATGCCACTGATATGGAGAAGTCACGATATGAAAGACAGAGGAATCTAACACGGGAGAGGGTTAGAAGTAGGAGAGGCCATCCTTTTCATATCCCCCACCAATTGTCCTCTTTGTCTTTAGATCCTGAAAAACACAATGAGAAGGATAAAAGGTGACGGAACAATTTGAAGCAGAGGTCATTCTATGAACAAATAATAAACTAAAAGGAAATTAAGGTAGGTACAAAACAGAAGAGAAAGTCAGATGTGAGGTAGTAACGGTGACAACCCCTGAACTGGAGATTTAGAACCATTCGCAATTGTAACAAAGGAGAGGGAGTACTTGAAAGATTGGAAAGAACAGAGGGATTCCCGGTCATATGATTAGAGGCCCCAGAATCAATAATCCATGGCTGACTGGATGAGGAATAGAGGCAAGTGTTACCTGACGCACCCAAGGTGGCAGTTAAGGTAGATGGAACATGAGTGCGCGCCATGAGTGAGTCATATTCTACTTTGGAAAGAGCTACGGTCTCCAGCAGCAGGAGTAAAGATTTCCCCCTCAACAATAGCATGATTAGCCCATGTGGGCTTTTCATGGAGTTTCCAAAATCTGTCAACGATATGGTTCGTGCAATTACAATGAATACATTTCTTGAGGCCACTGAGACCACCTTGAAAATTATGACTTTTATTCGAAACATGTCCCCCACGACCACTATGGGAATTATCAGAGCGCCCAGGGGGAACTGCAAGGGCAAAGCTATCGGCTTTCTCAAAAGCAGATAGGTTGGCTAACACGATTATATGCCTCATTAGCATATGGCAAAACTGTACCAGCGAGAATCTAAGAACTAACATGACTAAACTCGGATCGAAGTCCAGAAAGAAATTTCTGCCACGCAAAATTCTTCCCTATATCGTTTTTAAGTCTCCAAATCAGTAGTCAATGGCTGATACACATTTAATTCCTCCCACATACCTTTCAAAGCGGAAAAAAGATGCTCATATAGCTCATGAATCCGAGAGATGTTTTGCTCAGATGGGCATCCCAAATCTCTTTAGAGGTTTCAAGAAAAGAGACATTGTTGAAGACCTCAGGCTCCATACCATTCCATAACCAAGTCATAATTTGGGCATCTTCTTGTTCCCAAACATCAACAAATTTGGCATCAATAGGTTGGTTGACTTAGATATGAGAACTTCCCTCGAGCTTTCAAAGCAACTTGGACAGCTCGAGCCCATTAAAGATAATTGGGACCCTTCATTTTGATATTGATGATGGAACAAAAGAAGAGAGAATCTTTGCTATCTATTTTGTCATCCATGGAGACCGAGCAAGAACGAGATGAGATTCGAACAAGAACAAGATTCGAGCAAGGAGATCAGCAAGAGGATTCTTTCCAAGCAAGGCAATGCTATGCCATAGAGTCAATGAAGCAGTAACCCTCTTTTTTTCTTTTTATTAAATTATTTATTTACATAAACAAATAAGAGATATAAAACTGTTTACATAAGAAAACATAAAACTAAAAACTAAAAACAAGAAAACAAAACAGAGTACAATTCTTAGAAGGCACCAGACTTCGATGCGAGAACAACAGAGATCCAGAGCAGAGGTATGCAGGTGATGCAGAGAAGATGATGGGCTGGTGTATGGACCAATGGCACAGGTTAAAGGCTAGGTAGAGGAATGGAGACTGGGCAAGGAACGAGGAAGATAGGATTTGCGTCTCAAGAGCATCCCGCTCTGATACCATGTTGAAAATAAGGGCTAGAAAATAGAAGAAAAGAAATCTTGTATTTCACATAGACGCGAGTACATGTGGGTTTATATAGGAACCCAAGACATACAATCAATACAATCCTTTAGCCAATTACCAAAAATTAAGCTAATCAAATATCAATTCCTATAATCAAGTGAGCAGATTATATGCATCGGAATATTTCTATAATCAAGCTCGTAGATTTTATGAATCAGAATAGTCAACTCTCTCAATTAATCATAGGTTGTAAACAGCATATATTCACGACATCTTTTAACGTTTGTGTACTGAAAGGACCTTCTCCCCAGGTGCAATGGTATACAGTTTGTTGGAGTGGAGCTAGACCTAGAGCATCTCTGGTGTGCTGTCTTGCCCTGCAAAACAAGCTACTGTCTTTTGAGAATCTGAAGAAGAGGGGCTTACCCTTAGTATCTATATGTCATAACTGCATGCAGGCAGCTGATGATGTTGATCATCTTCTTGTCCATTGTCCACTTGCTAAGGAAATTTGGCACTGGTTATCTGATCTACTAGGGTGGAATATGCCTCAATTCATCTCTCTGGCTCAACTGGTTGAGTGGTTTGTAACTTAAGGGATTAAGCAGAAGGCCCAAAAGCATATTTGTGCAACAACTATTTGGCATGTGTGGCATGAGAGAAACATGAGATTGCACCAGGAGGTTCAAAGAACTGCTACGGAGATTGCTAGAGCTGTCTGTGGAGAGGTCCTACTGCTGTCTGAGATGGAGATGGGGGAGCTAGGCTCTCAGTCTTTACATACATGATTTACGTATGCCATTCTGATTACACCGTGTTTTATTGTCTGGTTTGTTATATCTATAAAAAAATTCCACTTTACCCAAGAAAAAAAAAAATAAGGACCTCCCCACCTTGGCACCCTTGGATCTTATGGACCTTAAAAATCATATATATTTATATATATATATATATATATAATGGCAATGAATTATTTGAAGTTATTTTTAACGAGATGTGCATTACTAATAAAAGCAAGGCCCAAGTACATATAAACACTGCAGTAAACTATATAGTATAAAATTGCTGTAACAAATATATCAACTGTATAAAAAAATCCTACTGCTAGGACTACTAAAAAATAATTTTACTGAATTTGAATATGTTTGTTATAACTAACATCCACATTTGGACTATTGTTATTCAGAATAGGCTTAAGTGCTTCATCGTTCAATTTCAGCATTAAACACAAAATGAATTCCTAAATAGACGTAACTTACTTTCTTTGTATTTGCAATCTTCTTTTCTCTACTATCTTTTCTCCTTTCTCTGTCCTACAATTTATTTACAAACACTTTCAATAACACAAAGATTATTAGCACAAAGACAAATATGACTTAGAATAAATCCCAATTCCTTTCAATTTTATGTACCACATTCGTAGAAACTCTCTCATCTGAGTGCACAAAGAAATCTGCATTGCGGTCCATTGGCCACCCTAACTTAAAACATTTTTTAGACCTGAAAATGAAGAAAAAAGAGGACATATTAAACATTCGTCAGACCTGAAAAATAAAGGAAAAATAGGATAGATTTCACAGCAACTAATTTTCAACTTTAGCAATACATAATGTTTATCTTAAAAAAATTACCAAAAATATTCATTCAAATCATCATAGTTTCTCCATGCTGAATGGCTTGCTTTGCCCCCTTTTGTCCTCCTGACTTCCTTTTCCACCAAACAGAGACCAATTAATTGACAATCTTGTAATCTTGTATATAAACGGGACAAAGTAAATAGAAGTTGTTGCATGACATATCAGTTACCTTGTGCATGACCTCATAAATAGGAGTTATAACATCTCTCAGAAATGATTCTCCACCATGTGATTCTGTTTGATATGTCCCTCCACTGACAGGATGCACATTGCTAAATAAAATTCCATGAATTTCATTCGCCATCTTATTTATTAGGAAAACAATAAACTGTTATTGTCATACACAAAGAAGTCATAAAGCAAAATTAAACGATAACTTGTGGAACTTATGAGGTATCAACTATGAGCATGATTCACACAAAAATCCTGGGAACAATAATTTGGTAATAATAATATTATTTCATTGCATTTATCTACTGCCACAATTAATGGCTGCTCCTTTTTTTCTTTCCATTTTTTGATAAATAAGAGAATTCATAAAAAGCGTTCAAAAGGGGAACGCGTCCCGAATACAAAGAAAACAAAAAGAGCAAATAAAAACATTAAGCCCCCAAAGAAGCCAAAAAATCAATCATGGCGTCAGGGGCAGAACAATAATAGCTGCTCTTACCACAAAACATTGCAGGTTTAATATTTTTTTTTTTATATGAGCTAATTTGCCTATGCCCCAACATGTAACAGTGTTAGCAGTTGAAAATGCTCCAAAAAAATTCTTGGGCTACTGATATTAGATCCAGAACGCTATCAGATAATCAGATGTATATTACCAATCAACAAGGATCATCACCACTTCTTTGGATTCATTTATTTTGTAGTTTCATCTGAATGAAGAGTTTGCAAACATATCATAAATCACTATAGATTGAGAAAAGGAGGCTTAATTTTCTATTTATCCCACTAAAAAGAATGGAAATAAAAATTATTGTCTATACAAGATCTTTCATGGTACTCAATGCTGCTACCAATCTTAGTTGAACCTCTCTAACCACCCAAGCTTCTTTTATTTTATTTTATTTTATTTTCGTTTTTAAAAAAAGGAACAAGTTCTTATTGATCAATATTTTCTCAAAGCCTTCAAATATTTTTTTTGGCCAATTCAGATGTCCCAGAGCTTCTGTAATACAAAATGTTACATAATAAAACCAAGGAGGAGGTAAGATAAAGGAAACATACATTATGGAAAATATAGCAAATGCATTCAGGCATAAATCGAACATTTGAAGCTTCACCCCAAATAAGAAGATAAAGTCCAATGTAGATAAGCTCTATCTGTTGCCTATTCCAACCCGGCGGAAACCTGCAAGCACATAAGAAGAGTCCATAGAAGTGCTCCAGTCAGGAAAAAGAAAAGGGCATGGCACCAAATTCCAGTGATCAATAATTTGAAGGATTTATTAATGATCTAGACTACAGCAACTTACTTCAGATTGGATGAACGGTGTAAGTAATTACACCAGGAGACGTAATTCTTGAAAATTTTATCTTTCAGAAGCAATACAGTGTTACTATCCAACTGCAATAAGTTTCGTGTCTTCAGCATTTGAACGCAACGATTAAAGAGAAGACTGCTATAGAACACAAGACTCAATATTTTTGCATATATATTAGAGAGGGTGTAACTTAAATATATAAATCCTTCAACACGCCCCCTCGCGTGTGGCATTCTTTTCAATTTTAATTACCAGGGTGACAGTGAGGTTTGAACACGAGACTTTTGGCTCTGATACCATGTTAACTACCATCTACTCTAAGAGCTTAAGCTATTAGAGAGGGTGTAACTTAAATATATAAATCCTTCAACGATATAAATATGTAAATACGTGTACGTATGATGATATATATTATTCAATCAACAGAAAATTTACCTCTGAATAATCATCAGCGTTCCTATTCCTTATGCCAATATTTGCAAGTAGCAATATTAAGTGCTCCCGCTGATTTGCTACATTTCCTTTCTTCAATGCCAACAATATTAAACATATAGAGTGAGTACAGTACATAGATGAATTCAACTGTTTCCTTTATCAGCAACTCATTTGACTGAGAAGATTATTACTATTAGCAAATAAATTAAATGAACAAATACAGACAACAAAAGCAAAGTCTCATGCAGAAGACTGAGTACCATATTTTTGGCATTTAATTAAGTACAAAATTATGTTGGGGCTATGACTTATTTTGTATGGACTGGTCCTAGTTATTTAAAATTAAAGTCCAAGTAGTTAATTTCAGAATAATTGTGAAGCTATTAACATCGGGGACTAGATAATTATGCATATCAATTGAAATATAGAGTTTGGAATACAATTTGGAAAAGGAAAATTCATATTTTAAATTTTAAAATTAGCCTCATTCCCCCTCTCCCCTATGGCTTGGTTTATTTTTGAGCCCCATACTTTGTGGATTTCAAAACTTCTTTGCTGAAAATTGCACAAATCTGGTATAAATCAGGTGTTAGTCGTTAGATTACCTCCCAGGTGACATAAAAGAAGGACTCACATCTCTGAGACAAGTATAGCATGAACACCAAGCTTTACAAAAGAAAATGTTATGGCTTCATCTCTTTCTAGGGAAGTCATTTTCCTAAATGAAATATCATACTTAGTGGGCCTAACTTTGAACAAAACAATGGCTTCAGATGTAATATTTTCCATATGTTGTTAAGTTCCACATTATTTTTATTGTTAGGGAAGGGGTGGAGGGGGTTCATAATGTTTAAACTTATCACTTCAATTTTAAAGTAACCCACTCACCATCATAATGGTTTGTATTTGTAATCGATTTGCTGCCATCAACATGTTCAATTATGACGATGCTTTCATCGGATTATAAGCATATATTCTAAGAGGGCATAGCATGCCATATATGATGCAGGTTGGAAGAAATATGTACAAAAAATAAAATTAAATACAAGTTACCTGAAACCCAAAGACAGAAGAAAGCCACTCAAGAATATCATTGACAGATTTATCACTGTCCTCAAGCATTCTGAGATTAGGAAGGTTATCCACATTACGTAGAGCTTGAAGTGCAGCTTTTATCTGAATTTTTCATAGAAAGATATATTAGAGAGGAGATAGGAGGGAGCATGGTGCCATTCAGGTACTAAAAATAAAAAATAAAAAAAGCCAAACTTAAATGGCATTGGAAAAGCCAAGATTACAAATGTGTGCCATATACGACCTCTGGAAGTTCCATAATAGCTGGTTTAACCCCAACAGCATACAAGGGAAGAATGTTATAGTGTTCATATTGTTCCCTTTTCTCCTCAATTTCTTTGGCATATTTGTGTGTCTGCAGTTGCCATGTAAATTGAGCTTCAGCGTTCAACTTTTTCAGTAAATTAACTTCCATATGCCACATATATTTTAGAAATTTAAACAAAGATTGAAGAACAATATAAATCGAACCTCCGGATCAACTTTTAAAGGAGGAACCACCGTCCTCAGCACATCATACAATACAGTCGCAATCTGATAAATCTTAGCCATCTCCTCCCTTCAAGAGATAGGAAAAGCCAAAGTGGTGAGATAAATTAATAATGGCAATGAATAATATTCGGAACGGAATTTCAAAAGGTTAATTATTTATCAAAAAAAAAAAAGGTTAATGATTTAAAATCAAGCCTCACGGTTTCTTTTTATCTTGGCCCTCTTTGATTTCTTTCTCATAGAAGTTCTGGTAGTATTTCTGGATTTCCCTTGGATCATTTTTTGCAAGCTGTGGTTTTGTGGACATTTCCTCCTGCAATCAAGAAAATTTTCAAGGTGTTTTTACTTTGTTCTGTTTACTCCTGAATAGTTGAAAATCCTCAGAATCTTAGCTATCATATTTTTTTTCTTCTGATAAGTAAATCTTAGCTGCCATATTAAACACTAGCAGCTATAAATGATAAACAACGTTATCAAACCGTTGATCATATCCAGCCAGTATCAGTTTCTATAATTTTCATATCATGAATTGTGAGATGCACTTCAATTTTAAAAATAGATCGAAAGAAATAGCAAAATATATGCTAAAAAAACTAATGAAGTGCTTATATTTTGTTGTTATATGCACACTCATGTTTATATTAGTCTATATATAGGCCAGTTGTCACTTGTCAAATATAAGTGAAATAATGAATGAGAGATGAAAAAGAAAATTCCATGAATTCATTCAAAGGTCTCCTCATCTATTAATAAGAGAGCAGTGAGAAAAAGAACAAACCAACCCCTGATGTATTATTCCATGCAATACACAACCTCTAACAGCTGATACAACTGGTAGAATGTACAAGTATCTGAGCATAATTAGTAGAAACATAATTATGCATAGCTGAACATAACAATATTAATGAGTCTTAAACAGGAATACCAAATATTAAAAAGATCAAATGCAAAAATATATTATCAACATTTGAAAGAACATAGCATTTTTTCAAGGACAAAAAATGATTTTCAGGTCTACCTGTTCTAGTCTATGTAACAGATAAGTCTTGAACTGGCGGACACCACGTCCACTTGATGTCTTATCCATCTTATGAGCCTTCTCGAATGCATGGAAGCGACCTAATCCATTAAATAAAAATGAGATCACAGAAGAAAATATTTGGCTACTATTGTGCACTATATACCTTTTTTTCTGTGCATTGTTCATGCCAAGTACGAATATTCAATCAAAAAATGATTTTTTTTATATCATTAGAAAGCATCAAACGAGGGTGTGAATCATGCGTGTGCTATATTTACACAAAGCCATCCTCCTAATAAGGACAAAAGAATCTGTATAATCTACAAGTTAGAAAAAAGGACTCTAGAAAGGAATTCATCCACCCAAGCACACAACCAGCAAATTTATTTTTTTCTTTTTTTATTCGAATGGTAAAGCAAACACACACCCTTTTGCCCACGCCAAGGCTTGATCCGCTCCTCTCCTCTTTGAGGATTAGGAGGTTAAACCATTGGGCCAAAGGCTGCAACCAGCAAATTTCACATCATATGTGAAAGTGCAACACCCATAGCCTTCTTTATCATTCCGATGCTGCCCCTTAACCACTGATCTAGGGAAGACCCACAACATGTCGACGTCTCAATAAGACACAGCAAAAAGGACCATACTCGTTTTTGGGAGGATATTTGGTGTGGAGATATTCCGTTTTCGACTCAGGGATGGTAGGAGGGTCAGTTTTTGGGAGGATATTTGGTGTGGAGATATTCCTCTCGCTCTTGTTTTTCCTCAGCTCTTCAGGATTGCTACTGATAGGCAGGCCATGGTGGTCAACTGTTATCATCTTGATAATGGGAGACTAGCATGGGATATTCGTTTCAGGCGATTGCTTCAGGATTCGGAGATTGACGAAGCCATTCGTTTCTTGGAGCTATTGTATCGCCAGAGAATTGTGGCTGAGGATTCTGATGGTTGGGCTTGGGCTGATAACTCTAAGGGGCATTTCGAGGTTAGGTCCTTTTTCAGGTGCCTCACGAATGATCCTAGGGATTACTTTCCTTGTAAGTCCGTTTGGCGCTCAAAGGTTCCTCTTAAGGTGGCCTTTTTTGCGTGGTCCTCGGTCCTGGGAAAGATTTTAACCCAGGATAACTTGAGGAGGAGAAATCAAGTGGTGGTTAATCGTTGCTTTATGTGTCTTCGTGATGAGGAGACAGTGGATCATCTTCTTTTACACTGCACCATTGCTAGAGCCTACTGGATTTGATGATTGGATTGTTTGGGTTTCCATGGGTTATGCCTTGTTCCGTGAGAGGGTTGATTGAGGCCTGGAGTGGATGCTCTGTGGGAGCTGTCATTCGGGATGCTTGGAGGGCTACGCCTCTGTGTGTGTGGTGGTATTTATGGCTCGAGAGGAATAGAAGATATTTTGAAGGACAGGAGATGTCGATTTCTGTTCTTAAATTTTCTATTCTTTCCACTCTTTGTTGGGTTTCAGGAGAGATTATAGATCTTTAGAGGAGATTATTGATTTTGTGGCCTCTTTGAAGGCTTAGGTCCTTTGTGGCCTTGTATTCTTTTTTGGGATTCGCTCCCCTTTTGAGCGCTTTTATTTAATTTTACTTATCAAAAAAAAACAAAAAAAGGACCATACTCGTTAAAACATTACTGACTCCCTAGCCTCTTTTTTTCATAAACACCTATTGGGAAATACTTTTTCCTGTGTACTAAATAAATTACATACATAGAGAATCTCGGATCTTCTCATAGCTGTCAACCACGTGACAAAGCCTCACCTTGGGAAGAACCCTAGCACCCCAAAAACCTTTCAAAGGAAAGAAGACCTTAAAGGTACAGCATGCACCTTGTAGAAAGAGTAAAGTTAATCACAAACACCAATTCTTCCAAGCTCCGCATCTCATTTCATTCCCCCTCCTCTAAAGCTATTTGCTCTGTACAAAGTATCAAAGATCTCTATCAGCGCCTCAAGGTGAAAGCAAATTACACATCTCATTGCAAAAGCTTGCCCTACTATCTTTGCCCACTAAGAAAAACACACGGGTCTAAGAGAAAACCATCCCAACCATTTCCAATGCCCTTCCACAAGCTAAAACCCATAAAAACAAATCACCCTTATTATAGTCCAACAACCTCTATCAGCCCCATATTTTGTGACCTTCCAGAAGTTCTCCCTCCCTAAAGCGAAACTCCATAACCACTTCCCTAGAAAGGCCTGATTAAACAATCTCAATCGTCGCATAACCAAACCCATGGCTTGAATAGGGAAACACACAGTGTATATGGTCCTTGAAATCCTCTCCCATCCCACCCCGCCAAAAGTCTCTTTCCACTTGTATTAAACACTTAACCAATGAACCAAGATGGTGAAAATGGATAAGATATATTTAGAAATGCTAGAGAGCATACCTCTGATCAAAATCAATCTACAACCCTTATACAATTACTGCCTTTCCCAACCTGCAAATCTCCTCTCAAACTTTTCCATTATTAAAGCTTAGATACTTTACCTTTATAAGAGGACCCCAATGGCCTGGTGCAAGAGGCCCCTCTCAGAAAGGGAACCAATACCATTACCTTTATAAGAGGAGCCCAATGGCCTGGTGCAAGAGACCCCTCTCAGCAAGGGAACCAATACCATTCAGTTCTCCAGGTAGAATCAACTGTCTTAAGTTCATTTTCAACCCAAAGACCACCTCAAAATATAACAGCCCACTTCGCCTCACAAAGATTATTGTGTCATGAGCTTAAAGAAGATGAGACAAAAATAGGATGCATTTCCCCTTCTCCAAAATAGACTCCATAAACACATTTTGAACCATCTGGACAAAGTCTATTTGAAAGCTTCAATTACCAAAATAAAAATAAGAGAAGAGAAGAATTCCCATTCCTCGATCCTCTCAAAATGGAGAGAATTCATTGGAGATCCATTAGCCAGTACCGAGAATCTAATTGTCGAAATGCACCACCTGACCACCTCCTCTCTCTCTCCCCAAAACTTATCCTTTCCATCACGTACATCAAAAATTCCAATATACGTGGTTATAAGCACTTTCTATATCTATCTTACAAAAAGTATTTGGTACACCATTCCTCTACCTAAACTTCAAAGACTCATTTGCAACTAACAATACATCCAAGATCTACCTGCCACCTACAAATGCAATTTAGTCAGACACCATTTTATTCATTATCCAGTTATAATTCAATATTGGAACTTTGGCCAGTAGCTTATACTATTAGGAGAATAATATATCCAAAAATCCTAATGACTGCTGCCCGTCCTTTCTGCAGAATTATGTCAATGAAAGATGTAGTAGGATTCTCTCAAACTCCTTTAAATCAGAAAATAGTACCAGCCTCAACACTCGATACGTCGTCCCTAGCAACGCAACATCTTTGAGAAGAAAAAAAGACATCATAGTCATTGCATACTCATCCAAAGGGCAGACATAGCTTCCACTAGCCAATGAAATTTCATCCTCTGATCTCTTGAATTACGCTCTATCCTCATACTCAGACTACTAAATTCCATAAACTGATTCAGAATACAAGTCCGAATAGAAGTCAGCAATTCATTCTCTGATGTCTTACTCTTCAAACCACCACCCCCCCTTCAACCAAAACTTCCTCACCTTTTGCACCAACTAATCTCTTCCATCCTCGGTTCCTCACTGATTGCTCTCCTTCCCTGCCCTCCTGATCTCACCATGCACCTCAGCTTTCATTACCCCAAAATCGTCAGATTCCTCTCTATTTCATTTCTTTAAATCTTCTTCAAGTAATTTCAACTTCATAACGAAACCACGATTTTCCCCACAGCCTCACCCTATGCCGTTATCACCAATTCCTAACCTTCTCGATATACCCCCCCCCCCCCCCCCGCCCCCCCTCCCCACACACACAACACACACACACACACCCCGTTCTTGCAATTAAATGTTCTCAAATTTGACTTATCAAAAAAAAAAAAGTTTTCAAATTTGAGCTAATTCTTCCCTCTCCACAAACTTCTATTGCCCAATAAAAAGGGAACATGGAATGACACAGTCCCAGGAGGGATCATTGAACAACATCCAAAAAGTGCTCCTCTCATGCTAGAAATATTAAAAACCTATCAAGACTCACATACATGGGGACTCTTGGTCTTGATCAAATAGCTATGAGCACCAGTAAAATCCATGGAGGCCCTCATGCTCTAAAAAATCTCATGCATCCTAACCTCCCAAAATGTAATCAGAATATTAAAGTCTCCTCCTGCCAACCATCTACAACCCATCTGCTTCCGGTAGCCACTAATTTTATCCATAGCTGAATCCTCCAACGGAACATTCACCCACCAATTACAATCATCTAAATACAGAGAATGACATCCAATATGATAAAAACTCTCTTTTCCCACAGAATGTGTACCCGACCCGCTATAAGCCTGTACCTCAGCAAACATATTACCACAAATTGACAATTTATTGCCTTTCTTTTTGAAATCTAAGAAGCTTCCTCATTGTAGGAGAGATTAACCAAAAAGATGATGGGAAGTTCATAACCCATCAAATATCACATAGCATCCACTATTGTGAAAGGAGATCATCATACCCTAAATGAGTATATTAAAGATCATGGAAGGGATTCAAGGAAATTATGAAATCTTCTATGCTAAAATATTAAAGTCCTTTATTTCTTTGTTGAAAATTAGAAGCTGCCATCATTGTTGCAGAAAAGACAACCCAAAACCTGATGTGAGTTCCAGATTGATGAAATGTCTGATGGTCTAAATTGTGAAGAAGCAAAGTTCTAATGTACATGACTAGATCAAAGATGGTGAAGGTTCGGGAAATAATCCAGTCTTCCTAAAAGAGATGCTAATATTTACAGATTGATGAATTGTTCCGAGTGGGTGCCTAGAATTGCTAATTCAAACGCTGATTGCGTAACAAAGAGAGGTTTTGACTTCCAGTGAATTTGCTTCTTGCCTTAAAATTTTAGCCATTTGTCTTTTCTTTTACATGGAGTCAGCGTCATATAAATTCCATATACCTTAAAAACAGAAACAAAAACATCATTGGTTGACTCACTATCGTTCTTCTTTTTTTCCTTAATTACTTGCTATCTATTTCATTAGCAGCATTCAAGGCTTCACAAGTTCAAAGTCTCCTTTTGCAGTTTTACAGTCACTTCAAAAGTAAAGATTTGCAAGAAATCTAATGAACTGAAGGCTCTTTGGTTAATGAAAGGGATGTTAACATGGAGTCTTTTTTAGAGTTGGTGTAAACAGAAAAAAGGGGTAACATCGGATATTTAACAAAATAGAGACACCCCTAGCTGTAAGTTTTTTCATGTTCTCTCGCTAGGGTGATTTTAACATGAACCTTGTTAATCTTTCTTTTTTTTTTTTCCCCCTAATCCCACAATTTCCTCATTTCGAATATTTCACAACTCCGGGGGAATGCCGTATGCTAAACGCAAAATCAGAGGCTGGACTTGTGAAGTGGAGTGGCATTATGACGGTTTGCTTCATGATCATTAATTGGTTGCCTATAAATTGATCGATACATTTGATTGAGAATAATTAATATAAAGGAAGTAGTTAAGAAGGCCAAAAAATTATCAAAGTACGAGTTAAAGCTATTGAAACCCTCTAGGTTGAAACCCTCTAGGTACTCTGTGTTTCAGTAAAACCTAACATGATGTGAGAGAGACCATATATATATTTCACAAGTTGGCTCAAAAATTCAGATAGAGGCAGTATCGGTTGAGAATGAGTGGATGAGAAAATGGATGCTAGTGCCAATAAATAAAATAAAAGAGGAATAGAGTGGAGGGAGTGTGTCTTACAAAGGTAAGCAACCCTAGGGTTTTCCTTCTCGATCTCATTGGCAACACGGAGTATGGGAGCAATGGAAGCAAGAGATGAGGGGACGAGCTCGCTGTCGACGGCAGGAATATCGTCGGTGGTAGGGTCCACCGTTGTGGGAGCTCTGGTCATCTTCCTCGACAGTGATTTGGGTGGGCCCACCTCGTCCTTGGTCCCACTAGAACTCGCCATCTCCAACTCCAAATCCAAAAAATAGCAATCTGTGATTTAGGTTTTCTCTGATCTCGATGATGCTTGTTGTTTGAAGGGGGGTTGTGGGTGTGGAGGGTAGTAGTAAAGTAGAAATGATCATGGATTTATCTATGTCTTGCTTGCTGTAGATATATATATCTATACAGACAGAAAGAGAGAGGGAAAGCGAGATTCTTTGTTGCTGGGGTGGGGCAACTAACTGGCTTTCGGTTTCTCCGAGAGCAAGTAAAGAATGAGAGAACGTTCCTTTCTTCATTCGCTCCTCCAACCCTTTTTTCTTTTCTTTTCTTTTTTCTTTCTAAGGCTCTTTGGTGGTGACTGTGAGAGGCGAGTGAGTGAGACCAAAGTAAGTAATTCTGGGAAATCTTCTTCTGCTGTCGCTGCTGCTGCTTTTTTGCTTTACTGCTGGTGGGAGTACTTGGAGAGTGTATCATATTATATATACTCCTTGTCGACTTTCCAAACACCATCCACAGTCCATCGGCGTTCGCTGACATAACTCCCACTTCCGGCTTATTTTACAAAAAGACAACACTTCATTATTTACATTTCTCCTTTTCTTTTTCCTACTTTCTTTTCTTTTTTTCTTTTTTTTAAAATTGTATCAAAATATCAAATTACAATTTCTAACTCTTTTATATTGTACTTAAATTTTTCATACGTAAATCTTGTTAGTACTTTTTTATATCAACAAGCAATCAAAATAGATCGTGTCATGTGCAATAATTTTTTTTGCTCGTAACTCATTGGCTCTGATTATTTTTTGTCCTCCTGGTAAAAAAGGAAATTCGTCACCCATTGAATGATCAGCTCAGCTTTTGAAATATCAAATAAATGAATTCTTTAAGTTTCAAGTTCAACCACACCCTTCTTGGTTGAATCTGAAGATGTCTAAATTAAGCTATTACTGATTAGACTAATGATAGGGGATTGAAAAATAATTTTCGAATTAACACTCAATTTAACGTGGTTGGCTATACTTATCACGTATTAAATAATTATTTTTTGAAAACTGTTTGAGTAAATGAGGTCAGATTCAAAAATTATTCGAAAAATCATTCGATGACCCTATCATTTGTTGGGTTTATTTATTTCTATATAGAGGAAAGCCCAAGTGGGTTTTATTAAAGCCCAAAGCTCAGCTCTTTAGGATAAATAACCCTAAGGAAGTCAGAATAAAAAGAGAGAGAGGTTAGCCTCAAGTTTCAGAAGAAAGAGAAAGAAAAACGCAGTTTTTTTCCATTCTGTCCAGATTTTATCAAACATCCGATCCGGTTCGTCCGTGGTCCGATCGAGCTGAAATTTGGAGGAGAGGTTCACGACTCAATGAGTTAAAATCTGAACGGTGGAGATCAGATTTTGAGCTCGGGAACAGTGATTCGTACTCGTGAACAATAACCGGGTCTTTGGTTTTTTCTATTCTGCCCAGATTTCATCAAACGTCCGATCCCGCTTCGTCCGTGGTCCGATCGAGCTGAAATTTGGAGGAGAGGTTCATGACTCAATAAGTTAAAATATGAACGGTGGAGATCGTATTTTAAGCTAAGGAACAGTGATTCGTACCCATTAACAGTAACCGGGTTTTGGTATTTTTTCTCTCCAATTCTCTTTGTTTTTGCCAAGATTGTTGATATCTTGATGAGATGTATTGTAGCCTCTAATTACGATTAGAGAAGACTTTGTGTACCCATTATTTGGTTGATAGTAGAGATTTCAACTGGACTAAGTCCCGTGGTTTTTGTTCCTCACACTGGGGAAATTTTTCACGTAAAAAATTGCTCGTGTTCTTATGATTTGGTGTGATTGATTTTATTTTCTATTATTTTCAGCACATATAAAAGTAGAGATATACTATATTTGCTTGCATATAGGGAGAAGAATTATTCCGTTGTGTTTGTTGATTGTCATCTCTCCCAACAAAGTGGTATCAGAGCTCCAGGTTGACAGATTGTCAGGTTGGCAGTTTGAGTTATGGAAACAAATATGAGTAGAATGATTAATCTCAATGGTTCAAAATATCACATATGGAAAGGAAAAATGGAGGATCTTCTTTATGTGAAAGATTATTACCTACCGGTGTTTAGTGCTGAAAAACCAGAAAACAAGACTGCTATGGAATGGACTTTGTTACATCGACAGGTGTGTAGGTATATGAGGCAGTGGGTAGATGATAATGTTTTGAATCATATTAGTGGAGAGACAAATGCACGTTCTTTATGGAGTAAGCTTGAACAGCTATATGCTAAAAAGACTGAAAATAATAAATTGCTTTTGATTAAGCAGATGATGGCTTTGAGATACCAGGACGGGACTCCTTTATTTGATCACCTGAATACATTCCAATGAATTATTAATCAGCTGGCTGGAATGGGTATTAAGTTTTATGATGAGATACAAAGGTTATGGTTGCTTGGTTCATTACCGGACTCATAGGAGACGCTCAGAACTTCATTCTCTAACTCCGCTCCAGAAGGTGTAATCACAATGGATATGGCCAAGAGTTGTTTGCTAAATGAAAAGATTAGAAGAAAAACACAGGGATCCTCTTCACAGTCAGAGATCTTGGTTACAGACAATAGGGGGAGAAGTAAGAACAGAGGTCCGAAGAACAGAGATAACAACAGAAGCAAGTCCAACAAGTTTGCAAATGTTGAGTGTTATCATTGCGGGAAAAAGGGACACATCAAGAAATATTGCAGGCAATTGAAGAAAAAAAACAAGAATGAGAAAGGGAAGGGAACGAATAATAGATATGACAGAGATTGTGATGACAGAGTTGCTACCACCACTCCTGCAGACTTCCTTATTGTTTATGATGATGAGACGATAAATGTTGCATACCATGAGACCAGTTGGGTGATTGACAGTGGTGCTTTTATTTATGCTACATCTCGGAATGATTTCTTTACACCTTATAAATCTCGTGATTTTGGAACAGAAAAGATAGGCAACGATGGCTTAGTTAAAGCCATTGGAATTGGGGATGTGTATCTGAAGACGAATAATGGCACGAAGTTAGTTCCCAGAGATGTGAAGCATGTTCCTGACATTCGTTTGAATTTGATTTCTGCAGGTAAACTTGATGATGAAGGGTATTGCAGCACTTTCAGTAATGGCCAGTGTAAGCTCATTAGGGGTGTTACGGTTGTGGCTCGAGGCATGAAGCACTCTGCGCTGTACATTCTGCAAGGAAAGATCTCCAACGACATTGTTAATGCGATGGAGGATAATGATACAACAGAGTTGTGGCACAAAAGACTGGCTCACATGAGTGAGAAATGATTAGCTCTACTAGAGAAGAAAAGTCTACTATGTGGACTGAAAAGTACACTTCTAAAAAGGTGTACTCATTGTTTGTCAGGGAAGCAGAGCAGAGTCTCCTTCAAGAATTCCCCTCATTTGAGAAAGTTAGAGATACTGGATTTGGTACATTTAGATGTGTGTGGCCCTATGAAGACGAGAACACTTGGTGGCTCCAGATACTTTGTGACCTTCATAGATGATCATTCAAGGAAGTTATGGGTATATACCTTGAATTCAAAAGACCAAGTGTTAGTAGTGTTCAAGCAATTTCAAGCCCTAGTTGAGAGACAGGATGGGAAGAAACTGAGATGCATTCATGCTGATAACGGCGGAGAGTATTTTGGTCCTTTTGATGAGTATTGTAGACAGCAGGGTATCCGGCATCAAAAGACAACTCCTAAAACTCCTTAGTTGAATGGCGTAGCAGAAAGGATAAACAGGACACTGGTTGAGAGAGTGGGATGTTTGCTTTCACAAGCCCAGTTGCCAAAATCCTTTTAGAAGGAGGTATTGAGCACAGTTGTTCATGTGTTGAATCTTAAACCCTGTATTCCTCTACAGTTTGATGTGCTATACCGAGTTTGGACAGGTAAGGATGTTTTCTATAATCATCTAAGTGTTTTTGGGTGCAAAGCATTTGTGCATATTCCAAAAGATGAAAGGTCCAAACTTGATGTGAAAACGCGACAGTGTATATTCCTTGGCTATGGCCAAGATGAGTTTGGGTACAAGTTTTATGATCCAGTTGAGAAGAAAATTATGAGAAACAGAGATGTCGTGTTTGTAAAAGACCAGATGATTCAGGATATTGAGAAAAGCAGGGAAATCTATGTCTCAGCAAGGTGATATATTGACTGATGTAGATCCAGCTCCTCTGAAGAATCTGCCATCTCAGGTTGAGAATGATGTTCAAGATGACCACCAGTGTACGGGTGATGTGGATGTTCCCCTACAGGTTCAGGGAGATGTTGAGACTGATGAGCAGTTAACAGCGCCAGAGATTCCACCAGAGATTCCATCTAGGAAGTTTCCTAGAGACCGACGTCCTTCCACTTGGTATTCAACAGAGCAGTATGTGTTATTGACTGACGGGGAAGAGCCCCAGTGTTTTGCAGAAGCAATAGAAGATGAACACAAGATAGAATGCGTTGAGGCCATGCAAGATGAGATGCAGTCATTGCATGATAACAACACCTTTGAGTTAATAAAGCTACCTAAAGGAAAAAGAGCTTTGGAAAACAAGTGGATTTACAGGAAGAAGCCAAATGGGTTCTCTTCACAGCCACGATACAAAACTAGATTGGTTGTCAAAGGGTTCGGTTAGAGAAAAGGTATTGACTTTGATGAGATCTTCTCTCCAGTCATAAAGATGTCATCGACTTGTATAGCACTCGGCCTAGCAGCTAGTCTTGACTTGGAAGTTGAGCAAATGGATGTGAAAACTGCCTTCCTTTATGGTGATTTAGAGGAAGAGATTTATATGAAGTAGCCAGAGGGTTTCAAAGTGAAAGGGAAAGAGGATTATGTGTGCAAGTTGAAGAAAAGCCTATATGGTTTGAAACAAGTACCGAGACAATGGTATAAGAAGTTTGAGTCTGTTATGGGGGAGTAATGCTACAAGAAAACAACTTCTGATCACTGTGTATTTATTAAAAAATTATCTGATGATGATTTTATTATTCTACTGCTTTATGTGGATGACATGTTGATTGTTAGCAGGAATGCTTCAAGGATTGACCAGTTGAAAAAGCAATTGAGTAAGTCACTTGCTATGACGGATTTGGGGGCAGCAAAGAAAATTCTTGGCATAAGAATCAATCGTGATAGGAGTGCGAAGAAGTTATACTTGTCACAGGAGGAGTACATTGAAAAAGTGCTTTAGAGGTTCAATATGGACAACACTAAAGTGGTTAGCTTTCCTCTTGCTACCCACTTCAGACTGAGTACAAAGCAATGATTTGCACAAGACCAGATATAGCCCATGCAGTTGGTGTAGTTAGCCGATTCTTGTCAAATCCGGGAAGAGAACATTGGAATGCAGTGAAGTGGATCATGAGGTATCTTCGAGGCACTTCCCATTTGAGACTTGGTTTAGGAAACGGACAACCATTGTTAGTTGGCTACACAGATGCAGATATGGCAGGGGATGTGGATACTCGTAAGTCTACTTCGGGTTATTTGATCACTTTTGCAGTTGGGGCTGTAGGTTGGCAATCAAGACTT